CACTTAAAAAATCTCTAAATTTTGTTTTTAAAAATAAGAGCTTTAAGGGTTCACCTATACCTAATTTTTGTTTTTCTAAAGATGATGGTTAAAGGGTCCCAAACAACGAGGGATGCATAATGGCGAAATCCCTTCCACAACTGGGCAAGCGGTCCACAGAGAGAGACAGTAAAATAAATGTATAATAGGCTTTCCACCGAAAGCAGCTATAACGATGACAAACTTGTGCATGTTTGGTGCAGTTTTAAGAAGTTTTAATTTTTTTATATTATTTATATTTTATAAATTAATTTTTTTAATTTTTTTTTACCTTCAAAAAATTTCAAATTTAAATTTTTCATAAATTTTTTTTACTATTTTTTTAATAAAAATTTAAATTTATTACTCATAACATTATTAAAAAAATAAAAACTCTCACAAATCAAACTAAACATGCTCTTATTCATTTTACTACTCTTCAGCTTTTGATTTTCAAAACAAGATGCAATGTGGGGTAGGGGGGAGGGGGGGGCATGTGATGACACTACAGACAGTGCATTCAGTGCACAACCATTTTGTATACAAGATAGTGGGGTTAAAGCCAACTATAGTCCCTTCACTTTTAATTTTTGTTCATTATTCTCTCTATACTTACAAATCTTTCAAAGTCTTCCCTCTACTTTTTCAAACCATGATATAGTCCTGCTTCTACTTTTAACTTTCCATTGCATTTACCTCCCTTTCCTAACACTGTTTATGACTCCCATTTAACAGTGGCAACTTTGACAGTTAGTGCAAATTATGCATAGAATATGTACTTTGACTAATTAAAAAAAGTAACTTATCATGTACCTTTTCATGATCAATCAACTAAAATTAGAAGTATATAGATTATTATTATATCATAAAGTTTTTTTTAGACCATTACATCTTAAAATGTTAGGTATTATTTGTTAAATAAATATAATGACATTAAATAGATAATTATATATAATATCAAGATGAATCTTAAATGAAAAAAATTAATTATATAATAATATATCAAGTTGCTACAATATCTCGCATAATGATACAATTATATTATTTTTTAAATAAATAAAAATATATAAAAATTAATTAAATTTGATTAATAATATAATCAAATTACATTTTAAATAAAACTGTATAAAAATGTTCTATAAAAAATATGGTTGAACAAAACTTTAATATTATATAAAATTATTACATTTTCAATCATATTTAGACTTGCTTTAGCAGTGTTATGTTTTTGCAATCTGGTTATCCTTCTTGGTCGGATGAATCTCACCCTATCTGTTTTTAGGTAAATCATCTTGCAATTTGGATGAGTGATGACTGTATGCTCATATTTTCACTTAATTTTTTTATTACTTTTCATAATTTTAAAATTTTAAGGAGTTTTTTACGGTATAATTACAAGTATAAAATTGTTCGAAATAGAGATAATTTCAAGAAATAGTTGAGTAGCTGAATTATGCAATTCTGAGAGTTAATGATGAGATTAGCTGGGACTGAAAGAATTAAAATAACAAAAAATAACTCAATTGAAAGTGAAAAGAAGGGTGATCAGTGACTAAATTTATAAATTAAAAATGAAATAGCCAAATTAAAAACTATGATAAAAATAGGTGTCTATATATACATTTACCTTACCCAACGTGGGTTTTTTTTTTTTTTGTCTTTATCTTTTTCTTTCTCAATTGGTTAGCATATGTTTTTCTAAGAAAGAAAAGAGAAAAGAAGACTCAAGGAGATTTAATTGGTTAAAATTAAACTTGATATCAAATTTGAATCTTCAATTAGTTGGGAAGACTTTTGAAAAAAAAAAAAAAAACTTATAACCTACCATTTGGTGCCAAAAATAAAAAGAAAAGAGAAGAAAAGAAAAGAAAAGAAGAAGAAGACGAAGAATGCGATCTTAGAGGAAATGGAAAGTCTTACATACCTAGTTGGGATATATAGCTTCTTCCATGTCAGATAGCAAATTCCAGAGACTGCTTGAGAATAATTAACGTAAATTTATACTCTTTGGAGTAGAGTATAGATTTCACCAAGATGATGCAATATCTGGAGAAGGATGTGATGTAAATCTCTAGAGTCTTTGGAGTAGAATATGGATTTCACCAAAATGATGCAATATCTGGAGAAGGGAGTGCAAGGACAGATCATAAGTTGTAGACTTGTACTATAACCAATACTACAAAATCATTAAAAAGAAAAAAAAAAGAGGTAGAAGAAGAAGAAGAAGAAGGTACGCAGATAGGTAGGTGGAAGGAAATACTTACAGAGTTTGTAACTAAGCATGTGTAGTTGATTGCTTCCACTCGATCTGGCTTTGAGATTCTCTTAATATGCAGTAGATCATTTAGATCTGCTTTAGAATGATTTTATATATCAAGATCAAAAGGAAAATGAAAATTAGCTAAAGAAACGCACAGTCAAGGGAGAAAAACAATAATTCGTTGACGTGAAGTCAGTCCTCCGTTTACAAATTTTTGAAGATAAGGGCGATATCTCAAAATTTGAAATACAAGTGTAAAATTTATAGACAATTAAAAAAATAAGTAGAGAGTATTTAAAATTTTTTAAGCAAAAATAAAATTTTAAAAATTTTGTAAATTAATGTTTTTGTAGTTACGTATGTTTTTGTTCAAAAAAAAAAAGGGAAAAACCAAAGTCTCAAGGAGACTTAATTAGTTAAAATTAAATTTGATATTTTTAATTTAAAAATTTTAAATTTAAATTTTTAATAAATTAAGAAGAGATTTAATATACTATATATATATATAAAGAACGCAATCTTGAAAGAAATTAAGGGAACCTCTTACTTACCTAATTATTGACATATATATCTTTTTTAATGTCATCAGATAACAAATTTCACTGATTATTTGAGAATAATTAATGTAAATCTACACTCTTTGAAATGGAGTATGGATTTCAAGATTTCAGCACAATGATGCAATACCTGGAGAAAGGTGCAAGCACAGATCATAAGTTGTACACCTTGTACTATATAACCAATACTACAAAATCATCCAAAAAAGAGAAAAGAAGAGAGAAAGCAGAAGAAAAAGATAGCTAGGCAAGGAGACGGAAGTAAATACTTACAGAGTTTGCAACTAAGCATGCGTTGTTGACTGCTTCCTCTCGATCTGGCTCTGATACATTCTCTAGATATGCAATAGATGTAGACTCCTTTCGAATGATTTTATATGTGAAGCCAAAAGGAAAATGAAAATTAACCAAAGAAAGGCACAGTAAAAAGGGCAAAACAATAATGCGGTTGACGTCAAGTCAACCCTCCAATCCTGTAAGTTTTTGATGATGAGTGAGATGCGTCAAGTTTGAAATAGAAATGTAATTTAAGTGG